CAGTGAAGCAACGTCCTCCACAACTAGACTGAAGAACAAAAGGACAGCAACTTGTCTGTTCCCCTTCCCCCAATTCCCCAGCACTGTTCCCTTCCCCCCAATTCCCCAATTAAAAAAAAAACAAAACAAATCCAATGTTATAAAAAAAAATTGTTTTCCCCCAAATCAACAGTTTAATCATTAATATTACTGAATTACATATAACAAAGTGACAAATTTTTGGAATTGGAAAGAATAAAATTAAACCACAAGAAATAAAATTAACCTTTGTTTTCTGTTAGCTATAGCAAACTTTTAATTGAAGAAATACAGCATGATAGTCGTTTATGATGGATACTGACCCTGAACTTCACTAATAGTGTTTTTAAAGGATAAATAGAGGCATAAAATAGGTCCGTTATTCTGTAGTATACTGGAACACATACAGTGTAAACAGATATACTGAGTAGGTTTAGGATTCAGAAAGGCCAAGCAGCTGATCATCTGGGGAACATTTGTGACAGGTTACTCATGACAGAGGAAAATCTCAGAGCACTGAACTGAACCAAAGCTACCCCCTCAATGCTGACTCTGAGCTGGATCAGCTAATGCCACAACCCCAGGGGACCCTTGGGGACCCACACAGTCCCGACCATGCTAGGTTTAGAGAAAGCCTGAGACCGTTATTACATGAATGAGCATGGGGGTTTCTGGACGCTACATGCAAGGCCAGTCTTGCCCCGGAATCACACACACAAGGGACTGGGAAAGACAATCAGCCATTTTGGTAAAAAGCCGGTGATTTAAAGGGAATTAATAAAAAGAAGAAGCTGAAATTAAAGTGCCGGTGGGTGGGAGCTGGGGGAGGGGGACATGACGTATTAAAATAACTCAACTGCACAGGTCTGCTATTATATAACGGCCTCCCGTGGAAACCCAGATTTCATAGAATGTGAGGGCTAGAGGCCCTGGGGGGGAAAGGGGGTGTCACATTATTTTATTATACCAACAAAAATAAAAATAATGGCAGTAGCTGCCATCCCTCAAGCTCTGAGGGCAAAGTCTAGGGGGCACACTGAACCCCCGTCCACTGAATGCCCTGAATAACCAAGGAGGCAGGCACCCCCAAGCTGATGGCACACGGGGAGGGCAGCCAAGGCCCCATATGAGTTATGGCAACTTTAGGGATGAGAATAAGTTGGAACACTAATGAGGTCACCAATGATATGAATATAAATGAATAAAATATGAAAAGCACACTTGGTCATTTCTCCCTTTCCTCAGCACAGTAAGAGCACTCTTACTATTTCACAATTATTTCAATGTTTCACAATTGCTTCCCTCAATTTGGTTGAAAGGGGTTTTACACAGAATGCAAAGATCAACATCTTTTAAAAACACCAAAAAGGTTTTCTAGCAGAATCATTAAAAAAAAAAAATCTATCTATCTATCTATCTATAGGTATATATATATATATATATATATATATATATATATATATATATATATATATATATATATATATAAGTAATATGGGAATGCTTGCTGGTTCAAACAACAACTGTGGTTTTCCACCCTGGACGAGATCAACAACCATGCCTAGGCTACAGGGAGTTTTATTAGTTTGGACGCGGGTAGAAACACAAACCTGAAACTTAATTAAGGTATAATCTTTCTGGCTACAAAATTAAGCTGACCCTTTGTCCGGTAAAACACATAAATGAACTCTCACATACATGCTTCGAGTTGCTTCTTTAGCAGAAAAAAGGGGCAAACTGAAGGCCTCTTGGAATCTCTCCTCAGTCACCTGGCGGCCGCCAGCACGCGTCCATGGACTGACCCGGGCGGGAACAAGTGAGCCAACTGCTGGGAAGTCTGGCCACAAGGAATCCTCAGATGGACAGGGCTTGTCACGATCTCACAGGCTTAGTGCTTCCTTCCAGGTGGTGCTAAGGGACTGTGCATCCCGTAGACATTCGCTTTCAGGCTCGGGGGCTCAGACGCTAATCCAGAGGGACTGTTGGCACACTGCTTTCATAGAAGGCCATGCTTTATAAATAGGTTTCAGAGGGAACTTTCCTCTGTCAACGTATTGAAGGGATTGTTGGCTTGAACCTTCATGCTTCTAGTTAGCGCAGGAACCCAGGGCACGTAGGTTGATGGGGAAGGAATCCTGTATTTCCATTATTCTCAAACTGTCCTACCAGTTCTTCATCCTTTTTCTATTGTAACACTCAAATCTAAGAATAGCTATGCTGTCCTCTCTCTCTTCTAAAACATGAAGCAAACCCCAAAACCACTCAAAACAGGTTTTAAGCTGAAAATTATCTTTCTAATTCCCTCTACCCCTCCATCGTTTGTCAAAATGAACAGGAAATGGAGACTATGCCTTTGACCATGAGAATTTTGTATAGGCCTTTGTTTAGGAGAGACAGCACAGCTGTGCTAGCACCTCTGAGCTTAGTGAAGAAAACAGTAACTGGTGGAATTTCCAGCTGTTGCCTTAAGGATTTGCAACAATGGCGGCAGCAACGACATGCTGCTGTAAGAAACTAAAATTTCACATCATTCAGTTAGTCAATAACAAGCATCTGGGTAAAAAGGGACAACTGGCATTTCAAACCGGGTTTCATTCAGCCACGATGCAGGCAATAAACAAAGCGAGTGCTATTTAAAATAAAATCTGCCCAGCTGCAATTACACTGCAGTTGTGGCGTGAAAGGCTGCGAAAAGGTTAGGGGATTTGATTACTAAGCTAGTTCAAATTACTAAAATCATAGCTTATGTTGGCAAGCCACAGTGGCTCCATACACTAATCCATCCACTTTTATAATATTTATACCCCCTATTTCTGGAACTCTCGTTTCTGGCTGAGGCTTTATAGAAATGGGTACACTAGCAGAACAGCCACAGGTTGTATATCACTGAGGGAAAAAAAAGACGTAAAACCTACTCTCGGGCCGGCCGAGTGGCGCGATGGTTAAGAGCTTGCTTGGGACGCCAGAGGGCCCCGGTTCGGATCCCACATATGAGGGCCAGTGACACTGCCCTCCACAGCTAAGATGCTGAACAACAGCTCAACCTGGAGCTGGGCTGCTGTGAGTCGCCGGCGACGGCGTAGGCTGCAGCCCCTGTGGCAGTGGGTTGCCATGGGTTACCGTGTGTAGCCAGCAGCCAGCGTGAGTGGCCAGTAGCCGCAATGAGCGGCCGTCCAGAAGCCAGTGACTGATCTGCCTCACCCGGGAAGAGCGCAATGATGGTGCCAACTTGGGCCAGTGAAGCAACGTCCTCCACAACTGGACTGAAGAACAAAATGACATCAACTTGTCTGTTCCCCTTCCCCCAATTCCCCAGCACTGTTCCCATCCCCCAATTCCCCAATAAAAAATCTTAAAAAAAACCCCTACTTTCCATTAGTATTTTTTTCCCAAAGCTGCCTATCTCTTACTCTCATCTTGCCCACAACCCTGTAATACCATCTTCAGACTCAAAGGTGAGTCCAACAAAGCCAGCTAGGTGCTATTGTATGCCTTAGAGGCAATTATGAGTGTAATGAATGTCACCAGGAATAAAATGATAAATTCTCTTGGCAGGCTATTCCTTTATTTTAAAATAGGAAGAATTTTTTGAGTGGTTCTCACTAAGGGGTGTTTGGAAATATGGGGGGCATTTTTGGTCACCACTATGGTGGTGGAAGGGGAGGAGGAACCAAAGATTAGCATTCCGGGGAAGGAAACAAAGATGTTAAGTGTCCTGCAATAAAAAAGCACAGTCCCAGTCCTGCCCCAAACGCCGACAATGTCCTCATGGAGATGTTATGTACCATGATCCATAGGATCTGAGAGACAGAAAGCCGTGTAGGCCATCTAGTCCAATTCTCAGGGAACTCAACATCACGCCACGGGCAAAGTGTAAATGACAGTCCACGTCATTGAGGCCCAAGCCTCCTCGTTATTAACACAATACTGCTGTTCTGTCAACTGGACACACTCATTGTCTTCACTTGAAATGGGAATCTAAAGTGAATGTTCACTGTGGATCCAAGACCAAAGACCAGGGTCAACGACAATCACCAACCTCAACCAGCTTTCACATGCCATCAGCTCTAAGCAAGTAGCACAGATGCTAGACGGACTGAGCTAAACTTTGTACCCAGACCCTTAGGTGGGACAGGAAGAAAAACAAACCGGTGGCATGAGAAATAGTTAGCAACCAGAAAACCAATTTCAGTTTATTCATAGGTCTAGAGGTCACACAGTAGAAAAATACCACTGACTTTTAAAAGAACTATACGCTACGTTATATAAGCACTACTGACTCAGCTAAAAAAAAATAAAAATAAAAATAATAAAAATAAATGAAGAGAAATATAAAGATATGCACATTCACTTTTAATTAACCTGATCTTGCCCAAGTTAATACAATACACAGGTTCTTTCTCATGTGTGATGCAGGGGCTCAGGGAAAGGCAGCATGATAAGAAAAACCTATTTTGACAAAATGTTCACAAATTTACAAAGTCCTTCAGTACATCTCCTCACCCACAATGAAAGGTATGAAATGTGGTACAAGTGTAAAATTCTCATTTGACGTGAACAGTAAAAACTAAAAGGACAAATCAAATAAAGATGGATCATGTCAATCAAAAGGCAAAAAGAAACTGATAAAATTATTTTTCAAAGGATTAGAATTCCTATTAGAAGTCACATAATGAGATGTGAAACAGTGACATCAAAATCCTACCAATATGGAACACTGCCTTCCCCCCACCCCCAAATATGCTAAATTGTCAAAACTAGAGCTTTCCAGGAGTGCTATGAAAAAAAGGCATCCGACCTGGCCCTCATACCAAAGGTGGTCCTTAACCTGGCCCACCGTCACATGCTCCCACCAGCCCACATGTGCAGCCTCTTGAAGCAGGCTGAGAAGACCCCCTGGAGATGCGCTTCAGTGTCAGTGAAAGTTTTCTACAAGAACCATGAATAGGGAGTGAGGAAATGAAGGAATGAATGCCAGACCTCACGATGAAAATGGGGCCAAAGAGAAGCAGCAGCCTTACCCACGTTGTAGTTTTCGTGTTATGGTCAATGAAGAAGGGCCGGCCGTTCGGCGCGATCCTCATCTCCCAGCCGGGCGGCAGGAAGCTCTGTGTGCCTTTGTGTTGTGGTTTGGGGGAGTTGTAAGGTGATGGCTGTGGGGACTGTGGGTTGGAAAGGGTATCTTTCACAGCCCGGCGTATGGGTGAATCCTTGGCACCCTAAGAAATAACAATGAGCATTAGAACTCTTGTCATGTGCTATTCCAGAGGTGTCAAAATGTACCTGGGTATCGTGGAATGCTCCTCTTTGGAGAGGGATGGGGGAAGCTCCTAGAAAAACCTGTTTCTGTCATTCTTTTACTTTTAAACCAATCTAACTTGAACATTTTTCTATTGGTTAAACACACAATATTAATTACTTAGAACCACCATCCTTTGATTGCTACTGGGTACATACCGAAAATACTGGTCATTATTGAGCATCATGAATGGAGGTTTTACAGAGGGTGGAGAAAAGTGTGCCCTTGCTCTTACTGAGCTCACAGTCTAAGAAGGAATGCATTGGATATTTGCAGAGCACTACAAGGAAATACTGTATCGTTGCACATGACCACCTGGAGTCGCATAATTACCCATGACATTTTTTATCACAGTTTGGAAGAGCTATCACCCATTCCCACTTATCAGCATCTTCAGCCCAGGGCACAGAGAAAGCCACAGATATCTCAGAGACACAGTCATGTCGAACCTGGAATGTTTACTCTCTTGGGTTCTCTAACTCTCTCTGGCACATGTGACGTTATGGGATGGCACTAAACCCACACAAACAGGAGAGCAGAAGCAGATGCCCAGCAATGACGTAGAGATGCAAATATGCATCAGAAGCACGGATGCCCACACAGTGACTGACCCTAAAGTCGAAAGGGAAAAAAAATGACCAAAGCCACAACTGTGTTTTAAAACTCAATGTAAGCGTTGGCATTTGAAAGAGTTACTGTGCAAGTCTAATGAGGCAACAGTCCATAAGGAGCGAAACACGACAAGAATGGAGAGAGTTCTGAAAAGAGGTGCCCACACGTCCAGCACAAGTCACCACCGCCTCAGGCAAATGAGGATGAGAGTCAGGTGAGAATCCAGGGATGTGAGCTGGGCGGGACAGAGAAGCACGGAGGAAAGCTGCACAAGAAAACCCTCCACCACGAACACAACAACTGAGCAGAGACAGGAAGGTGGCTGTTAAAACGAAAGCCAAGTTAAGAGAGAAGAGAGAATGAGCAGTCCCAGGACAGATGGACCCCAGTTAGAGGAGTAGCCTTCTCACCTCCAGCGGGGCAGATAAAGTTACTGTTGGCGAACTGAGGCTACGAGGCCGGCGAATCTGAGGCTCGATTAGGTGGTTGTTACTGTTTGTGGCGGGTCCACGAGCTGCGTCTTCTGCCAGCTGCGTTGGAGGCAAAAACAAGTTAGCTTCACATGAGGACGTCCCTATGTGTGAGACTAGGAGTGTGGACCCAAACAACAACACAGCAGTATAGCAAGAGCTCTGGCCTCTTTAAAGCATGAAGGAAATGATTTAACATAACAATGAGGGAAAGGACAGGGAAACACATTCAAGAGGAATAAAAATGAATCACCTAGCCCCAGCAGAAACACTAGCCTCAGGGAAAAAAAAAAGGTGGTGTTTTTTTTTGGGGGTGGGGGAGTGGCGGGGCATGGGAGAGAAGCTACATATTGCCATAGGCTCTTTGAAAATATCTTTCCCGTGACATTTTAAAAAATCTATCTAGGGCAGCTGGGTGGTTACAGCGCATGCTCTTAACAACAAGGTTGCCAGTTCGACTCCTACATGGGATGATGAGCTGTGCCCTCCCCCTTTCCCCCACAACTAAGATTGAAAAAACGGCAACTGGACTTGGAGGTGAGCTGCACCCTCCACAACTCTGACTGAAGGACAACAAATTGACTTGGAGCTGATGGGTCCAAAAACACACGGTTCCCCAATAAAGTTATTAAAAAAAAAAGTTGAAAAAATAAAAAAATATATCTAGGAATTGACTGCTTGGGTGACCCAATTCTCCCTTAGGCAAGTATGATTCTTAAAATAAGGCATTTTCCTTGTGAATAACGATTTCTGAAACATGGGCTCCCTAGAACAACACATTAACATCAGGGACACGGAGCTCATGGACACTTCCGCTTCGTTTCAGCGGCAACTGAAAAGTTGCATGGCGATGAGCGTACCTGCATGATAGGCCGAGTCCAAGTTGTGGTTCGATTGTTATGATTGACATAGTATGTGCGTCCCTTAGCATCTTTTCTTTCTTCCCAGCCTGAAGGGAGGCCCGGCGTGGTATGTACATAGGCCACTGATGGCTGTTTGTGTAAGAAATCATTATTATTTAATATCTTGCATTTGTTTTCCAATCAGCTTAATCAAGTAATGTACATCCAGAGAATTTTTAATTTTTTTCCCTAGACCACGTAAGTTCATCCTATTTGTACAGAAAACACGAGCATCTGGAAAGCAGCAATAGATGTCCAGTAGTTTCAAATCTCCTGTGAAATGAGCCCCACATAAGCTGTGGAGTCCAAAGTTGTACCGAACTCAGTTCTAAGGCCCTGGAGTCTTAGATAAAAAGGGTCGTTGCTAAGAGAAAAATACAAGAATATGTTTTAGTTACTAGATTTTCCTGTCGAACTACGTAGAGCTTAAAGGTATTTCAGATTGTCCAATGTCACCGTCTATAAGAGGAATGCTCTGAATATTTTTTCCTCCATATAGCTGCCACAGGGATTCACTCCCTAGCTTATTCCTAAATTCTTCATCAGCTGAGGACCCTTACATTATATCTTTCATGGAAAAAAACAACAGAGTCTCTTCTCTAGGAGGCCGGCATTCACACCAGTGGCACAGAATCAAGAGGACCAACCAGGACACCTCCCTGCCCCAGCTCAGGAAGCCGCCTGGCAATCTGAGGTGAGAATTCCAAAGGAGCCTGATAACTGAGTCTGTATTTATTCTGTCTGCCCATGAGAAGTCTGTCTCTCTAACGGCTGAAGGCAGCATAGGCGGTTTCCAGGTTTCGAGACACGTCCAGTATAGAGGGACTATATTTGGGTAGTCCAAATTAAATCGAAAAAGGATTCCTGAGACATTTTTACATGTAAGCAGCAGCCTGAGAAATGCAGTTGGGGGTAGAGAAATACTGGAATAGCAAGGATGTTTCAGTGACTCATGGAGGCAAGGAGGTGGACATCGGAGGTCAGTGCTGTCCCAGGAGGGGTTCCTGGATGTACAGATGCTGCATATAAGATCTGTAAGTGGGAAGTGGGTGCTACTTTAAAGGTGGGATCTTAGAAACAAGAAGCCAATCATGGCTCCCCAGACTCCCCGGAGAAGGTATAAGAAGCAAGAGGCCAGACATTAGGAATCATCTCTCATATGAGATCACAAAAGGAAACCACTTCTTTCTGGGTATCATCTTCCCTAATTAGGATCTTCTGACCCTCCAGGTATTTACCAGGTATAATTTTCTCGGTATTAGGCTGAGGATGTAACTCTCATAGCCCAGCTATGCCCTGTGCTCATCCCATCTTTCATGTTCATTATCAACAATGTACCATGGCAGAGAGGGTTACCTCAGAGGGTCCCCAGTCCACTGCAAGACCCTGAATTAGAAAGCACAAGCAGGATGCTGCCAATGTCATTTGGGAACTTCAGTTAACAAGGCTATATATTCTACTTCATGAGCTCAACAGCACACTCCAGAAAAAAAACTGAGGCCATGAAGCAGCTGCCTCGATGGTTATTTCTAAAATGTTTATCAGGCAAGCCAAGATTATTTGTAAGAAAACTGTCTGCTAAAACTTCAGCAACTATTTCCTTGACATTTTTCTAGATCTGAAGGCCTCACAATGGTCATTCCAAGACTCTGACCACATAGCGTCCTAGATCTAGGTTTGGGATTTCAACAAGAGCAAAAGAAACACCAACATACAGACGTGACCCTTCCACGAATATTTAAGACAGATGAACTCATCTCCAGCCTGAAGCTCTTCCATCCCTCGCCCTCTAGCTATGGCACTGACACAACAGAGCGACTGCCAGGCTACTTTTTATCTGGACGTTACCAAAACCAGCTCTGCTGAACCAACTTAGAACCCAAGGTGTAACCTAAGTTAGTGGTCATTTGTCTTTTTGGCAAACTACGTGCTACTCAAGCTTTGACCTACTATTGTTTATATGATGACCAAAAATGCGTGGGCTAAATGGAGTACAAAATGGGATTTGTTGCTTTTCCTACTCCCTGTTATTCTGGGGGGAGAGCCAATTAGATATGCCCTCAGAAAACTCCATGCTGGAAACCTTAAGGACAGTTTCACAGTTATAGCATCCCTGGAAAGGGTATTTATGAGGAGACAGATAAACTAAAATAACTTGGATGTGTCATGGATCATGTCAGCATCACACTCTAAAACTGTATGGTTTCCAGCACGGTATTCCAGCAGCCAGGTTATTTTCACAGATCCACAGTTAACAGGACTAATCAGTTTATGGAAAATTTGGAGTGTAGCAGAGAACACTGAATTTGATTAAAACATTCATTCTACCTTGTACTGAGAACTCAATTGGCAACCTATAATCTAGTTCCATTTATGTGAGATGTTGTTATTAAAATGTTGTTGTTTTTTTATAGGTTTCTTTCCAAATGACCATGGAGAAGCTGTGCTGATGATTCGACTTGTGATTCAAAACACTGCCTCCCATCACACACAGCTGAGGAGGGAGTAGGGCTCAGCTTTGACAGACGTGGTCCAGGCCTGGAGCCAAAATCAGACTTCTACTGCCGTGTGTGTGCATGCACGCACAGGAGCACATACGTGCATTCCATTCTACTTCAAGAAAAAAAATTAGTCAAGAGACAAGTTCAAAACTGCTAGTCAGTTTAATATCTCACAGCTTTTCATCTGAACATACTACTGTGTTTCACAATGCCAGATAGCCATTTTGCCACAGCTTCACAGAGGCTCCATTTATTTCACTGCAATGAAGAACTCAATTAGTATGCTTACACTGTAACAGTGTCAATATGCTTTTACAGATGATAAGCATTTGGCACTATCACAGACTCTCCAAGATTCACTCCAACCCTACCATACCTGTTCCCACAGTTTATTTTAGCGCATATACAGCAAAGAACAGAAGAATGAGGCTATTCCTCTCTTGTCATCTCACAGAGCAGGCTCGTGCTTAGCTAGCTAGAAAGTGACATCTGTGTGTACTTATTTGCCATAAATGAAAGGGTTGTGGTTGTGCAGGTGAGAATCAGGGCTTGTTCGCTATATTATAGAACTAAAAGCACTACCATGGAAAGAGAGATGTACCAGGATGGTTAACACGGCATGGTGTGTAGGGCCAAAGGGGTGGGGGTTGGGGCTGAGCGTTTGTAAATGTGGGAAAATCATATAAACTGTGGTGCAGTCACATCACGGAATATTATGTAATTATTAACATGTCCCAGAGGAATGACCATAAGTGAAAATTATCAAGTTGCTAAGGAATATGCACATGAGACCCCACTGTTCTCTCTCTCTGTGTGAGTGTATATGTCTGTGTACACACGCACATCTGTGACAGCACAGAGCACAGCTCCAGTATGAGACTGTACACTTTGGTGTGGGGCTGACATGGAGAGGGACAGCAGAGGGCGTAAAAGAGGGATAAGACATGGTGGAGATGGAATGGGAAAAGAGAAAGTAAAGGGATTGGAGAAAGGGCTGGGGAGGGTGGAAACGAAACAGATGCGATGCTTTCAAACCCACCTCAATTTTTAGTGTAGCCGTAAAATAAGTGGGCTTATTGCAGCCAAAAGATTACCAAGGACACAGAGAGCAAGAAAGCAGGCAAAACGTTTAGGAACTACGACTACTGCCCAGGGCTTAAAAAGAAAACACAGACATAAACTCCAATTTTTGATTTGTTGGTGGAGGAGGAGGGAGTACAGGCAAGAAGGAAAGGGCCATGGCAGAGGCCACCGGGGTCTCATTTCCATGACTCCTCTGTCCTGCCAGGTAGCTCTCACCATGGAGCCAGCACTCTCACAATTTAGGCTGGCCCGTCATTTAATATCACAGCTATCCCAACACTCCAATCGTAACAGCAGGTTCCAAGGCCAATAAAATGCAAAAATGAATGCTAGAGGAGACTCATTAGCACTGGATTCTCTTGAAATTGTTTCATGAAATGATCTCGTCTACCTCGCAGCTCTGCTCCCATAGACATTTCTAGCATCCAGTAGAAACTATGCTTGCTGGTTCACTTGGAGTTTCTTGAATTCTACGGGAGGCTGAGCCTGGCCCACCCAACACACGACTTTCACATAACTCACCGCAGGTCAGTCCCCTAAACTAGGCTGACTCTTGCTGATGGCCAGTTTGATTTTCCTGTGGACAATGCCAAGCATTAAATTCTAACAGGGTAACTACATTGTTCCTTTATGTCATCAACATCCTGCAGAAACTGAGCAATTGTATTTGTACCTAAAGGAATTCTCAAGTAATAAGCAGTTATCACAAACACAACAAAGGTGAAAAAAATGAAGAAAATTCTTCAAATATTAATAGCTATAGCCGCTCAAAGCGTGAACTATAAGCTAGCCTGTCTTTAAGGGACCAAGGAGAAAACAGGCCATTAAGATGGAGTCAAATCCAAGCAACTCACAAACATGAACACTAGAAGTTATTTAAAATAATGAAGAATAAAAACAACAGATGCTTGGCTTAGAGAAACACCATTTTTTCTAGGTGTTTCAAACTCCTTAAATATGTCCTGTCTCTCCCCCTCCCGCCAGGAGCATATGAACACATCTTCACTCCTGTGAGTAAAGCCCCTGGTGGCAGAGAAAGGTCGCTGGTTCATGCTCGTGATACAGAAACTCTAACCCAGTGTTTAAAATGTGGTATAGGAAATGTACAAGAAAGCCAGCCCTGGGCATGACCCATGTGTATAAAAATCACATTCAGCTCCTTGGGCTTCCCGAGTTCTCTTGCAACCAAACTCATTTACCCAAGCATTCTAATAAACCGTGAAAGCCTATCAGAAGCACAAACCCTAAAAGGCAAAAATGTATTCTAAATGGTCAAATTAAACACACTTAACCGAAGCTTGACAGTATTCCTAATAAAACTATGTGAGGCTAAAAATGGTTCAGTTTTACTCAGTATTTTTGAACAATGTGAAAGTGAGAGTTTTAAGCTAAGAACCATGTGCCTCTCTGTAGTACAAAAAAAGCTTTTGGATCTTATCAAAAAGAAAAAAAAAAAAAGAAGAAGAAAAGAGTACATTCACCACCGTACACAGTATTGAAACCAACCCCCAGTTTTGCCAGGCAAGTCTGATCAAGGGTGTCATTACCGTTGGCTCGTCGCCACCCGTAACAGTCGATGAGCGCGCTCTCCTAGTTGGGGCACTGGGCTGTTAAATGATTTAAATGATAATGTACGTCAGTGAAACGCACTTAGGGAGACCGCCCGCTGTTTCCTGAATCAGGAATCACTGCAGTTACAGCCAGTAAGGTAAGTGACATGAATCGGAATCCTCGCGAACCCACCCTGTCCAGGGACAGCTGAGCAATCACTGATGACCAGAAGGAAAAGGGGAGCACCATCACCCTCTCACCCAGAGAAGGCTCAGGTGGCAGCCTTGACTTGCGTGAACAATGACTCGACAACCTCGATAATACTCAACGCGAGGTGTCTCATTCGAAAACAACTGAAAACCACTATGGTTTCACCCCGCTGTTAAATAAGTAATTAGCAGATGCTTACATCCACCAAACTCAACATTCAAGTAAGAGGCCACTGGTGATCAGTGAGTTTACAGCTTCCTAGAGTCCAAGGAAAGCGGGAGGGAGGAATCATCGGTTTCCAAGAAAAGGATCACTTTGGCAACTAAAATCGACATTGATTTTGGAAAGGAGAGAAAGTGCCATTAATTCATCAAGGAAAATCACAGAATGAGAATCCCACTAACTAGTCCATCACAGATGACTGTCCTGTTGGTGGGGCAGCCTGTATTGAAACCATCCCAAAAAGGACACTCTTGTCAAGCTACTTATCAACCAGCGCAACTGATATACGCCCACAATGAATCTATTATGTTAACTACTCAGTTGACTAGTGTCCTCATTAATTCATTTTGTAAACATAAGAGACTATAAAACCTAGGCACAAATATTCTTTTGAGTTGTGCAAAAATGTACACGATAGGGAAGACACTGTAATTTCAAAAGCTGTAAGTGTCCATTTTCCCCCCTTCAATTTCACACATCATAAAGTATTAGTGCCAAAAAGAGTTTGAGGATTGGTAGTCATAAAAAAATTGGTTATGGTCAAACATTAAATTGAACACACCAACACCACGTTTTCGTTTTTTTCCTCCTCTAAAGGAAGAAACAAATTTACATAAAATTTCTTATTTTTAACATGTACACCAAATATCTCCCAAGGCAGCTCTGGTCTGTCTTCCAATTTGAAGATCTGTTTTTATGTATGTCCTATATCCTTAAACATCCTTCATCCTTCCAGATTTGTTGCTAGTTGTGAAAACTGTGGGAGTGTGGGAACAAATTGTAGCTAATTCTTTAGTCAGTAGAGCTGCATTTAAAGAGAAGGTGCAGAGGCTTTGGGGGGTTAAGCATTTAGGCTATTAGTCATGGAAAGACACACTTGCTGCCAACCCAGAAGAGTTCTTCCTGTTTAAAGGGATTCAGTAAGTTCTGAAAATATAGGTCACTGGCACACAGCTTTAGAGACTAACTGAAGTTGCTTTTTCAAAACAGGAATTATGACTGTACGTTTTTAGTTAAGTAGTTTAAGTCAAGTGAGCGCAACTGAATGGGAATTAATTTGGGTGAAAAACCAAGTAATGACGTTTTTACCATTTCAGAGACTTCAGTGGCGATAACAATTCTTTGTGTTGAAATCCACTGTCCTTGGGCAAATTGCTAGGAAATTTTAATGTCTCATTTATATGGTAAAAGGATCTGCACAGGAAAAACTCTTCCCCAGTAGCCCCGATGATTTTAATTAAAAGCCGAAAGAGCACAGTGAGGACAGGAAAGGAGCGTGGGTTACCGGTGGTAGGTGAGCCTGTTCTGCGACCGCATCGGTGACACTGCAGGACCTCAACCGCGAGGAGGGCTCTCTTTGCTGAAGGAGAAGAAAGGACATGAAATATCAAGAAAACATATTCTTAGAAACAATGTTCATTGGTTTATAAAACATACCACTGAATCCTATTCACCGCTCTATGGTAACAGAAGGTTATTAAATGAAACATCTTTTCAGAGTAATCAGAGTCATCCTTTAAGGAGTCAAAGTTATCTTCCCTTTCCATTCTCAGTGTTTTAATTAAGCAGACTGGGGTTTTGATTGGTCCCTAGTTAGAAATAAGACCAATTAGAAATAAGACCAAAACATAAGAGCACGAGGTCACAACATGAAAGAGGACTCAACAGGCCACCATAACCCTCAAGGAGTGCTTTAAAAATGGAAATATGAAGGGGCGGCCAGTTAGCTCAGTTGGTTAGAGCGCAGTGCTCATAACACCAAGGTTGCCGGTTTGATCCCCACATGGGCCACGGAGCTGCGCCCTCCACAACTAGAATGAAACAACTACTTGACTTGAAGCTGATGGGTTCTAGAAAACCACACTGCTCCCCAATTAAAAAACAACAACTGGAAATAAGAAACTGGAAGTCTTATACTCTGGTTTGGGATGCAACCTCTAGGTAAATTCTCATGTAATATGAATACAGGAAGAAATACTGACATATGGTTATTACACATTTACTATTATTATTATTGACAAAGAACCAGCTGGATTCTCCGTCCAAAGGAACTCAAATATAACCTTGTGCTACTTCTAAAAGGCTGAGTATTTATCTTCTTAGCTCTTCAATGGAGTTGAGATGTACAGATAAGGAAAGAGGGAAACAAAAGAGCAAGGTTAACCTAATAAATCTAATGTGTGACGTATAATGCTCCTCTCACTTGTTTTTCTTCACCTATATTGTTTAAAAAAAAAAAAAGCCTAACATCCAATCAGAGAATGGCAGCAGGTCACACACACACAAGCTCAGGGTCTAATCAGCAACAGGTCCATCCGTGGGGCAAGTTTGTCGCGTTTACTCCTTTTTGATATTTTGCAATGATAAGTAAAATGGAATAAGGACAAAGAAAGACTGTGGCAGTAACGGTGGTGGGAGCGGGGAGGGGGGGCTATTCATGTCTTTCCACAATAGTTGCCATGCAGGATTCATTCTTTAGTAACAGTTCATGCTATTGTCCTGGAAGATACCCTAAGCAAAACAGGAGAAGAGTCCCATGTTCTTCTCTTTCGTAGGCACTCTGATTTAATAGCTGAACCAGACTCAACACAATCTTGATACTGACTCTTGCACTTGGATCTTAAAAATATTTGATGTAGCTTTAATAATTAAGTGCTGGAGCTCCCTGTACAAATAATTAGAAATGCTAACTTAATGCTGAAGAATGTTATAATTTATCACTTCGTCGATCAAAGGTATGCAATTGCTATAATTCTTGCAGTACTTACTTCCTTTTATACGTTTTAAATATATGGTTTCATTGCTTATGTTATTTCTATAGCAACAGTTTTACCAATTCAAATAACCCATAGATGCAAACTCTTTTTTTCCCTGTCCCTTTAGTACTAAATTTTCATCTCAGTGGCATTTCTTTTTCTGAAAAATATTCATAGAATTTTAATATAAAACCACATTAAGTGAGTAATCACTGCAACTCACACAACATGGGCCAATGGTGTCTTTTTAAATAAAAACACCATAACTAAAGGAGTAAGAATTTTGTGAGCATTTACTTGCTTTAACATTTTATGCAGCCCTCCTATCCATTTACGTGTTGTTGTTTTTTTTTTAAGCTGAGCCATTCTGCCACCTGTTGGTAGCTCAGCGGCTGCTCAGCTCGGGCCGGGCATCGAACCGCTGTTGCTCAGAGCTCAAACTCTTGAGTGAGCTCTTAACCAACTGAGCCACTCGGCAGGCCCCTATCCATTTACGTTTGATCCAGGTGTAATAATGACTATTTTTCTAGGATGCCATTTTCAGTGGAGTCACTACCATCTTTACCGCAGTACATCTTTACGTTCAGTTTCTCAAGAAACACGGAGACTGCATTCGTCCTCAATTTTATGCACAAGCAGAAATTTTCTATGGGCTTTTTCTGCAGTTTTCTGTTATCAAACACAGGTCTTCATGATTGATTCTACTGCTTCTCATTGGGGCTTAGCCCCATCTGAAGCTTCTAGAAAGTGTGTCCCCGATGGTTGAAAACTCAAGGTCAAATGCTACCCTGATGTCAGTGTCCCAATTCCACAATCTTTCTTAAGGATTCGTCCTCAGGGACTGAGGAGTATCCTCTACCTCCCATTCTAACCTTGTCTTGGACGGGTCACTTAAAGATAATGCCTTCATCTGTGAAATAAGGCTGATAAAGCGTGCAGAGGATGATTTAAGAGGACTGATTAGGAGGCTCTAAGTCTCCCACGTCCCAATGCAAAACATACCTATGTGATGAAAGTGCCATTTCATGGGCTGGGAGAAGAAATTCTACAAAACTAAAACTGATAATTACAGAAGTCATGGACTCTTATTCTCCGAGTTCTTGACAGACCAAGAAAGGTTCTCATCTACTTGGGCTAATTTTTGTACAGTTCTGCTTCGAGGAACTTGGGAAAATGTCAGTTACCTGAGAGCTGGAAGACCCTTGGTCATTGTTTGCATACAAGATTCTCTTAAAGTGACAAGAAATGATAAAATATTTGCTCAACTTCTCCTTCAAACGAGACTATTACTTACAATTAAGGAACCAAACTGCTCCCCATTGGAGTCTGGAGTGATCTGAAGCCTTCTGCTCAGTTCCTCGGACAGCTCCTGGGGGCTGGTCCGGGACACTGGTGAGGATGGCGGTGGGGGCAGCGCCAAGCTGAGGGAGTCTGCAGCGATACTTGCTTCTTCTGAAATGGTGTCCCAAGACTATCAAGGAATGAGAACGCTGAGGTAAATGCTAGGAACGTGGGATCCTCTGGTCCCCTCCCCAACAATAACCATGATGACAACTATAATTAACATTTATGCCGCACGAAGGAGGCACACAAGCTTCTTAATAACCATGAGGAAGATATGACTACTGCCCTAATTAGCAGATGAGGAAACTGAAGCACAGAGGGTGACTTGTCCAAGGTAACAGAGCTAGGAAGTGGCAGGGCCAGGGCTTGAACCGAGGAAGCCTGCTTCCAGAGGCTGTGTCCTTAATCCACATTTAAGCCACCTCTCTGAGCCGTGAGTTACTTCTAGCACTTCTAACCCATGTGTGGGTTAAAAATATCCTCAGGAATTCATTTATGATTTCCATGGATTTTCTTTTACTCTAACTGCTGAGGATTCACAATGAAGAAAGCAGAGATCCTATAAGCTGTAGTTAAACACCGGTATAAAGTATCTTTCCGTGAATTACGGAATCATTAATTTTGCTTTTCCAATTTTAATCACTGATACATTTTGTAAATGATCTTCTTCCTAACACAATGTCTTTAATGGATTTCTAGTAAGTAAACAGAATTATTGAGGCAGCATGGAAGTTATGGTAATTACTAATTTGTTCTTCAGTTCATAACTTTTCCCCTCAGTAGTTTACCGTAACCATTTAAGGGGAAAATTATAAAATATTTGATTCACCCAAATTTGTACTTTCTTGGTAATAAGTTTCTTTTAGGATGTCAAAACTATTCAGTAAAAACTTGTATTTGGTACCCAAACAAGTGCTAGGGCTCATTCAATTGCTCAGATATGATAACCACGTTGCCGTTTAATAAGACACGGGAAAAATAAATGGGTGAAAAGATCTGAAAATGTCCAAGCAAAAACAATGTCATTTCCTTTTGTGATGATATAGCTAACCTGGATTCATCAAACAGGGCTTTTATAAGCACTTTCTAAATTAATATCCCGATGGTTGTCAATTAGCTATGAGACCACGAGCTTTTTCTTAGACGGCTTTTACCAAGAAAAGAGATTATGACATAGCATCAAGCTGGAAGACACGGAGAGGAGGAGCTGCAGAGTATGGAGGCAGTGGGGGATGGGGTACCTCGGGGCCCTCTCCGCCCTCGGTGTGCTCGGGCTCCAGGTCCTCACTGATGTGCCGGCGGGAGCGGAATCGGCGGTGCGCGGCCTCCTGGTTGATCTGTCTGATGTTGCTGTCTGACTCGGAGGACACATCCCTGAGGGAACGGGGTGAGGGGAGGCGAGACAAGCGAACCGGTTTCAGTAAGTGGCCCGTCCATGAGAGTCCAACGCCTCCCAAGGGCCCCACACCTACTAAAATGCTGGTGCTCTTAGCGAAATCTGACCATTAGCGGCCTTCTACATATGAGAATTCTTCCACCATATTTTGGCTCAAGTACAGTGCTTGGTTCATGTCAATCAAATAAACACAGCTTTTAAATGCATCAGTCACAATATTTTGGGCGTCTTTCAGGCATATACTTCAAAATGCACAGTTGTATTTCAGAAAGAAGAGAAATCCAGGTGCTCCATCCATTTGCCCCAGTAACGTCAGGCCTTTCTGAGGAGAGGGGACAGGGAAAGCTCACACACACGGCCCGTCAGTGGTGACCCTTTTGGGAGCCTAGCAACGCCAAGACGGCAGATTTGGGGCATTCACAACTGAACAAAGCGTACATGCGGTACAAACTCAAGGCTGCCATCTGGAGGGAAGTGCTCCTGACCCAACACAAATCTTTTGGCTGCTGTGGATCTCATTTTGACAGAAATCTCAGAATCGTGACCCTGCATTTCTTCCTGTTAAACTGCTTTTAAACATTCAAAGATCAGGTTGTAACCTCCCAAATCAACTAGGATTTGAAGAACACTGCAACTTCATACTCTTATTTTTTTGTCATATATGGTAACTCTCTTAATTCGGATGTGACAGCATTGATTCAATCTTGAAAACTATGCGGAAATTACAGGCAATCATCTTTTGGGAGAAATGCTACTTGGAGGCTTTCAGAGTAGAAGTTTAAATGCCAAAATGTTTTTCAGGGAAAACTCACATAGACTCTTTTTTGTTTTGTTTTTTTTAGCTGAGCCATCCTGCTACCTGTTGGCAGCTCAGCGGCTGCTCAGCTCGGGCTGGACTGGAACCGCTGTTGCTCAGAGCTCAAACTCTTGAGCGAGCTCTTAACCAACTGAGCCACTC